GCATAGAAAAGGATGGAATCCTCCCAATTCCATTTTATGAAGCAAGCATAACCCTGATACCAAAACCAGGCAGAGACACCATTAGAAAGGAAAACTACAGACCAATATCCATCATGAATATAGATGTGAAAATCTTCAACAAAATTCTAGCCAATAGACTGCAACAACATATCAAAAAAATAATACATCATGACCAAGTGGGTTTCATACCAGGTATGCAAGGATGGTTCAACATTAGCAAAACCATCAATGCAATCCATCACATAAGTAAAATAGAGGAAGCATCACATGATCATATCAATAGGTGCACAAAAGGCATTTGATAAAATACAATACCCATTCCTTGTAAAAACTCTCAGAGAAATAGAAGTAGAAGGGAAATTCCTCAACATAATAAAGGGTATATATGCTAAACCAACAGCCAACATTATTCTCAGTGGAGAGAGACTGAAACCATTCCTCTTAAGAACAGGAACCAGACAAGGATGCCCACTATCACCACTTCTATTCAACATTGTATTGGAAGTCCTAGCCAGAGCGATTAGGAAAGAAAGGGAAATCAAAAACTATCCCTATTTGCTGATGATATGATCCTATACATAGAAAAGCCAAGGAATTCAGCAAGAAAACTACTGGGACTTATTGAAAGAGTTGGCATAGTGGCAGGATACAAGATCAACATACAAAAATCAGTTGGATTCCTCTACACCAGGAAAGAGGTCTCTGAAAAGGAAACCAATATCATTTACAATAGCTTCCAAAAAGATACTATACTTAGGAATAAAAGTTACCAGGGACACAAAAGACTTATACAAAGAAAACTACAAAACACTACTACAAGAAACTATAGGAGATCTACATAAATGGAAGAACATAACATGTTCATAGATGAGAAGATTGAACATTGTGAAAATGTTAGTACTACCCAAATCAATCTATACATTCAATGTAATCCCAATCCAGATTCCATCAATATTCTCCAAAGATATGGAAAAACCAATCACTAATTTTACATGGAAAGGAAAAAGACATCAGATAAGCAAAGCACTACTGAAGAAGAACAAAGTAGGAGGTCTCACATTCCCATATCTCAAAACCTACTATATAGCCACAGTAGTCAGAACATTCCTGGTTTTGATACAATGACAGACAGTATGTGGAACAGAATTGAGAACCCAGAAATAGATCTATCCACCTATGACCATCTGATCTTTAGCAAAGGGCTGAAACCCATTAAATGGGGAAGAGATAATATTTTTAACAAATGGTACTGGCAAAACTGGATATCCACTTGCAGAAAAGTGAAACAAGATCTATACTTTACACCACACATAAAAAGTAACTCCAGATGGATTAAATACTTAAATATGAAACCTAAATCTATAATGTTCATCAAAGACAAAATAGGGGCAAATTTAGGAGCCCTAATTTTTGACATAAGTAGACTACCAAGCATAACCCAAAATGCAGAAAATAAACTAGATGATTGGGACCTTCTAAAAATTAAATACTTATGTGCATCAAAAGACTTCTGCAAAAGACTAAAAAGATAATGTGCAGATTGGGAAAAAATATTTGGCAATGACATATCTGACAAACAATTTATCCCTAAAATTTATAGAAAACTCTAACACCTCAGCATTAAAAAGACAAATCATCCAATTGAAAAATGGGGAGGAGATATAAACAGACACTTCACCAAAGATGATATTCAGGCAGCCAACAAACACATGAAGAAATGTTCATGATCATTAGCCATTAGAGAGATGAAAATCAAAACAATACTGAGATACCATCTAACCCAACATTAATAGCAAAGTTCAACAAGACAGAAAATAACAAATGCTGGCAAGGATGTGGAGAGATGGGGGCTCTCATACAGTGCTGATGGCACTGTAAAATGATACAGCCACTGTGGAAATTGATATGGTGATTCATTAACAAGTTGGAAATAGAAATACCATCTGATCCAGCAGTCCCATTAATAGGTATATATCCTAAAGAAGTGAGAGCTGGGACAGAAATAGATGTATGCACACCCATATTCATTGCAGCACTATTCACAGTAGCAAAGCAGTGAAAACAACCTATGTGCCTATCACTGGAGAAATGGATAACAAAACTGTGCTGCATACATGCAGTGAAATACTATGCGATACTAAAGAATAATCTAGAATCTGCAAAACATTGTGTAATGTGGATGAACTTGGATGACATGATGATGAATGAAATAAGTCAATCACAGAAGGATAAATGCAATCACTATTGTAAAAAGTCAAAAGTCAAGGAAAGGTTTACCTGGAAGGGAAATTTCTTTGTTGGTTACCAGAGATGTGAAGGGGTGAGGGATTCCTAGGTAGGTGATGGTGGTGGGGCATTGAGTTTATGCTAGTGGTGGTGGAATATTTTGTAAAAGGATAACAATTATGGTGCACAACATGAAAAATGCCATCAATGTCCCTGAGTTGTAAATGTGGAAGTTTTTAATGGTGAATGTCTTGTTCTGTATGTTTTCACCATGATGAAAGTAAAATATATGTGTGTGTGTATATATATCTATGTGTGTATATACAAACCACCAAAAAACCAAGTTTACTGCCATTGAATTGATTGCAACTCATAGCAACCCCTCCTTGGGTTTCTGAGGTAGGATCACTATGGAAGTAGATTGCCCAATCTTCCTTCTGAGAAGGGGCTGGTGGGTTTGAACCACCAGCCTTCTGGTTAGTAGTCAAATGCCTTATGGACTACACCACAGAGTTATATATAGCCTGAAAACCCTAAAATATTTATTCCTTTATGTCCTTTACAGAACATGTTTCATAGTCCTCACTCTACAGCCTTGATACTTTGAAGGACAGGTTGACTGGTTGTAAAGTCCTTGACTTATGCATTTGCTTCATGAGTTTCTTTATAAGATTGCTCTGTTGATATCTTTATACATTATTATATTTGTTTTATATATTATTATTTAGAAGTCTGATAACACCCTTATTTGCTTTTATTTGTAAAGTCACTTAGGTCTTTCTGCTTGGAAATCTAGAGAGTTCTTTAAATGTGTCATAGTTTTTTTATCAGGCTAATGAGAATTCTAGGTACATTGTTCTAAATACACAGTAGGCATTTTCAATATAGAAACACTACTTTTAGTTCAGGAATGTTTTCTTAAATTATAATTTTAAATAGTAGTTCCCTTCCATTTGTTTTTCTCCTTCAGAGACCACAATTAGTCTTATCTTAGATCTTCTTTACCTTTACAGCATCACTTTCTCTCTGATCTATTCTATAACTTTGTTTATTTATGTTTTATTTTCTTGGTGCATTTTATTTCTATTCTGTATTATCCTTACTGTATTTTTGGTCATATCTGTTCTTTCTTGGACACCTGCTAGTTTATTCATTTCTCAATTTTATTTTTTCTTTAATTTCTTTCTTCATTTCAAGAAACTTCCATTGCCCATATTCCTGTTGATTTTATATTTTTATTTTGAATTTTAAAATTAAAATTAAAATTCTGATGCATGATGTTCTTTAATATCTGAAAATTCTTGTTTATTATAGTTAATCTATGTTGAAAGGGTTATATTAGGATTTTCTCATCATATTTGCCTGTTTTTTGGTCTAGTTTTTTATATTCTCATTGTCATTTTTTACTTTTTCCACTTAACTAACTTTGTGTACATGCTAGATTATTTTGCAGATGTTGTTCTTTATTTCTATTGGATCTTCTTGAATCAGCAGACAATCATATAGAAGAATAGGGAGTAGTGTTTGGGTGGCTTATTCTGGTTTTTTTTTTTTTTTTCAGATCAGAAAGACCCTCTGCTTTTGCTTCAGTGAAATGAAGTTATTTATTTATTTTTACTGAATGGGACTTTCTTAGGGGGTGGAATTTGTTTTCTTTGGATTCTTTTCTACTTATTAATTCAACTAAACTCTTATCTTGGCCACTTTTGTCTCTTCTCTTACCACCAAGGCTCCAAGACACCTCTTATTTTCAATGCAAATTTCTCTCTTCCAGAAGCTATGCCCTCCCAAACAAATTACTACACCTGATTCTCTTTGTTTTCCAATTCCCCTTCTTTTAAATCTCTCCTTGTTAACTATGTAATCCTCTCTGATGTGTCTACAGCATCTGATTCTTAGAACAAATGTGAGGTCTTGAGTACACTTTGCTAGCCTAGGGTGTTTATTTTTCCATTTATATGGGAAGTATGTAGGCATAAGCTATGGATGATTTTGTAGTTGAGAGAGGTGTGGAGAGATTCTAATTTATGCTTTGAAAACTTGATCATACAACTTAAGAAGGAAAATAAAGTAAAATAAACTAAAAAAGAATAATGAAGCAAACAACGAAAGCAGAAGTGAAGGCTTGATGATACAGAAATGAACTAATTATAGAAGTAAAAAACTTACCAAAATTGAAAATTATATCAAAATCTAGTAAATGGTGTTTGGAGAAGAATTGGCATTGGTAAGTCTTAAGGTTATTTATCAAAAAAAGGTAGAAGCACAAAAATTAGGAAAGACAAATTCATTGTAAACAAAACTACAGAGCAGATAAAATTACAAGAATGATGTGCAATGCTGATCTAAAATTTGAAAATGTAATAGAATTACCATTTTCTAAGCAAATATAAATTATCAAAATTAATTCAAGATAGATAAAAATAAATATAATAATCAACAGCCATCTTAAAATATTAAAAGGAACTTATAGGAGATAACTAAGATAGGAAACCTTAGAATGAAATAATATTTTGATAAAAATGGATTTTTATAAAATTTTACTTTGAAATATCTGTGCAAAATGTCTAACAGTAGTGAAATGGAGAAGCTGGAACACAAGAGAGAATATATTACTATAAATGAAGATTTGGGAGTTTACCACCATATAAATAAAAAATGCATCATTGTTATGTTTTATGAAATGCTTACAGACAGGTGAAAAAGAATGTGTCACTCTATCAGGTCTTACTGATTTTCTTATTTGCTTACAGACAAGCAAAAAAGAGTGTGCCACCCTACCAGATCTTATTGATTTTCCTTCACTTCCTTGTCAACCTACTCCTTCTTCAGAAATAACTGATGTCTCTTCATTACATATTGAGAGTAAGTATAATGATTAAAGATGTAAGCATAGATGATTTTGTGAGGTAAAGTTACATAATGTTAAATCATAAAATTTATATTGATTGCAATGTACATTTAGTCATTAGTATTATTTCATTTGAAAAATATACTCTAAAATATAAATTTACCAACTAAGATATAAGTACAATAAATTTGAGTGCAAGATAAATTTCCCAAAAGCACCATACCAAAAAGTATAAGCATAATTATTTGAGCTATACCTAAGTTTCTACACATATATGTAACAGGTAAGAGACACACTGGAATGTGACCTACACTATGTATTTTGTAAATCCTATTATGTAGCTCTCTGTCTTAGTAATCTAGTGCTGCTATAATGGAAATATCACAAGTGAATGGCTTTTACAAAGAGAAACCTATTATCTCACAGTTTAGGAGGGGAGAAGTACAAATTCAGGGCACCGACTCTAGAGGAAGGTATTCTCTCCCTGCCTGCTCTGGAGGAATGTTCTTGTCTCCTTTCAACATCTGTGGGCCCATCATCCCTTGGAGATCTCCATGTGTCTTGTCATTAATCTTCCCCTGAGTCTAGGATATTCTTAGCACAGAGACTCTGGATCCAAAGGACACCTTCTGCTCCCAGCTCTTCTTTCTTGGTGATACCGAAGGTCCATCCTCCTCTGCTCACTTCTTTTTCCTTTTCTCGTGTAAGATAAAAGGTGATGTAGGCCCCACCCCAGGGAAACTCCCCTTATACCAGGCCAGGGCTATGACCTAAGTAAGGGTGATATCCCACTGTAATCCCCTTACAACTAATGACTGATCACCTCAGATGACATCATGGAGTATGAGTGCATCATTACATAACTTCCAAATTACATTAATAACTGCAAAACTACTGAAAATCATAATTCAACCAAGTTAACACATATCTGGGGGAGACATGGCATTCCATTGTTTGGCCCCAACAATTCATGCCTTTGCCACATGCAAAACACTTTAACCCCATCATACCATTCCCAAAGTTTTAAATTAAGTCCAAATTCCAAACAGGCAAAATCCCTCTTCCATATTGGGGCAAAATGTACAGAATACCATTGTGCTTTATAAGTTATGTGCTTACAAAGTACAATGGTGGAACAGGCACAAAGAAAACATTTCTATTACAGATGGGAGAATTGGAGAGAAAGAAGGAATAACGAGCACCAAGTAAATAAAAAAAAAATAAAAATAATAAAAAACCAGCAGAACAACACAGATTAGCTCTCAAGTCTTGAAAATAATCCTCTGTTCTCTGAGACCATCAAGACTTTGGGTGTTGGCCATGCTCTCTGCATTCTTGGTGGAGGCCCCTCATCTCTGGGCTTCAACTATGCCTTCTATGCTCTCTGGGATGGCAACTCTGCTTTCTTGGTTTGGGTGGCCCCATTCTCCTAGTCTAACTGAAATGGTGACTCCAGCTCCTCAGCCCTGGCAGGCTCTATTTTTCTGCCCTTTGGGCATGGCAGCCCCACTCTCTCAGCTTTGGGCAGTGGCTCTGACCCCATCTCCCTGGCACTCATGAATGGCAGCCACATACTCCAAACCGAGTTGATGGAGATCTAACTCTTTGAAACCTAGGAGATGACAGCCCCACTCTTTAAGACCAGCAGGCCAAGGTGTCACCATTTGAGATTCTAGAGGTCATGAGCTTAACCATTTGAGACTAATGTAGCTCTGCTACTCATCCTCCTTGTCTCTTCAGCTTCTGCTTTCTGGTTCTTGGCCTTTTCGGCTGGCCCAACCTCTACCCTGCTCAGGCAAGTATTACAAAGCTCTTTAATGATAAGTGCCCAGAGGCACTATACACTACCAGTTAGACCTTGGCCTGAAGTTGTTCAACTTTGTTGCTCCATGGATCAGCAAATCTAGCTCTACTGACAAGTGCTCTGAGACTCTCCACTCTACCAGCAAGCCTCCTGCCCAAAAGCATTCAGCTCTCTTGCTCAGTAGGTTGACTCTTGTGCTATCTCGTGCTGGTTTTGCGGCTGCCATTTCCCTGCTGCTGCTTCTTGCCATCTGTGCCATTTCCAGTGTTACAGCTCTCCTCACTTCCTTCTGAGCCCTCACCTTTGACATCCAGAATTCTACCAACAGTCTCTTCAAGGCTATCTAGGCTTTTACTGTTAGCACCTTAACATTCTTGCATCCTCTACTCATTACCCAATTCCAAAACTGCTTCCACATTTTAGATATCTGTTAGAGTAACACTTCACTCTCAGTATCAAATTCTGACTTAGTTATCTAACAGGAATACTACAAGTGAATGGCTTTAACAAACAGAAACTTATTATCTCACAGTTTAGAAGGCTAGAAGTACAAATTCAAGGCACCGACTCTAGAGGATGGCTTTCTCTGTTGGCTCTGGAGGAATGTCCTTGACTCCTTTCAACATCTGTGGGCCCAGCATTCCTTAGAGTTCTCCATGTGTCTTGTCATCAGTCTTCTCATGGGTCTAGGAGGTTCTCAGCACAGGAACCTTCAGTCCAAATGATATGCTTTGCTCCCAGCTCTTCTTTCTTGGTGGAACTGAGGTCCCTTCTTCTTGGCTTCTTTTCTCTTTTATAAGATAAAAGTTGTTGCAGGCCCCACCCCAAGTATACTCCCCTTACATTGGATCAGGGCCTTTCCTGAAGTAAGGCTGTTGCATCCCACCATATTTCCCTTACAGCTGATGGCTGATCACATCAGATCATATCATGGGAGATGATTACATCATTACATAACTGCCAAACCACTGAGAATCATGGCCTAGCTATGTTGACATCTATTTTGGTGGGAAACAATTTAATCCATGACATTCTCTTAGAAATGACTACACAGAATTTTCTTAGTGATAAATGTGAAACTGCTTTAAGAAATCCTTGACTGAAAATTATTCTTGCTCTTATAGACTATTTCCTTTCAAATTTTATAGTTCATGTTTTGGGAGATTTAACAATCCTTAACTTCCAGACATTAATGAGTATGGGATATAATCTCTTTAGGAGAGAAGATTATCAAACAAATGAAACAAGTAAAGGAAGAAAGAAGATACCTGGAAAGAATTAGAGAAGAACTAATTAAAAAAGTTGAAAGGCTATTTGAGCAAAGCAAATCAAAGCGATATCATGGTAAAGTTTGTTATGTGTCTTTTATCACAGTAAAAGTAAACTTAAGTTTTATAGAATTTGTCTTAGTTATTTTGTGCTGCTATAACAGAAATACTAAAAGTGGATGACTTTAATAAACAGAAATTTATTTTCTCATAGTTTCCAAAACCAAACCAAACTCATCGCTGTTGAATTCTTTCTGACTCATAGCAACCCCCATTGGGTTTTCGAGGCTGTAAATCTTTATGGAAGTAGATAGCCCCATCTTCCTTCTGTGGAATGGCTTCTACGTTTGAAGTACTGAACTTTTCATAGTGTAGGAGGCTAGAAATACAAATTCAAGGTGCCAGCTGTAGAGGAAGGATTTCTCTCTGTTGGCTCTGGAGAAAGGTCCTCCGTCCTAAGCTTTTACTCCTGGGCACACTTCATGTGGCTTGGTTTCTCTCTTCCCCTATTTTGGCTCTGCTCACTTGTGTAATCTCTTTTATAGCTCAAAAGAGAATGATTCAAGATATTAGTATACCTCAAAGATACTGTGGGTTTGGTTCCAGACTCCTGAAATAAAGTGAATATTGCAATATAGCAAGTCATGTGAAGTTATAAAAGTTATGTTAACATTATACTGTAGTCTATTAAGTGCACAAGGGCATTTTGAAAAAAATTGAAATATTGTCACAATATTGAGACAGAGGCATGAAATGAACATATACTGTTGGAAAAATGGTGCCAATAGACTTGGTCAACACAGGGTTGCCACAGACCTTCAATTCATAAGAAAACACAGTATCTGAAAAGTGCCATAAAACAAAGCATGCCTATGCACCCTATGCTAATCCTGTCTCATTAGCATAAAAAGACAACCCAAACCCAAATGGGATTATAACCAGAGGCACAGAAGTTAGGATTTACAGAACATATTTTTGGGAGACACAATTCAATTCATAACAGAATTGATTGAGGATAAAAGGCATATATGGAATTAACTGGTTTTAGGATTCTTCATCTACCTTGTTAGACCACCTCATCTGTCAGTTTATTGTATTGTGATGTCTTGCATGTTGCTGTGATACTGGAGGCTGTGCCATTCATATTGCAAAAACGAATAGGGTCACTCATGGTGGACAGGTTTCAGCAGAACTTCCAGACTAAGACAGATTAGAAGAAGGACCTGGTGATCTGCTTCTAAAAAAAATTGCCACTGAAAAAGTTATGAATAGTAGCAGAACATTCTCTGGTATAGTACTGGAAGATGACCACCTCAGGTTGGCAAAGAGCTTCCTCCTCAAAGTAGAGTCGACCTTCATGATGTGGATGGAATAAACCTTTTGGGACCTTCATTTGCTGATAGGATACAACTCAACATAAGGAAAAACAGCTGCAAAGATCCATTAATAATTGTAACATGGAATGTTGTTGTTGTTG